GCTCAACACACACAGTCATGCTGCTGGTGCAACAAAGACGTTGAAAAGAAACATGTGGGCCGAAGTGAAAGTCAGGCGCGCTCCTCCCAGAAATCAGCAAGCTACCGTTTCACAAGCCTCATATCAAAGCCAAATATGTTGTTGTTTTTTCGGACGATCGACCACCGGCAGCAGCTTATTGTTGATCCACGTGAGCGGGAGCCCTGGTGTGAAGGACACAATCGAGATGCGCTCCCCGCTGAAGGGAATCGCAGTCTGTGGCGCCGTCCCGTCGGGTTAGTCTGGAGGCAGCTTTCTCTCCTTCTGCCTCCATAGTAGCCTGATTGCTGTGTTTGATTGTTTGTTTTTTTGCGGGGGTAGGGTTGCTCCAAGCAAGAAACCATTCAAAAGCGGGACAAGCTCCTTACTGTAGCGCAAGGCTCGCCTCCAGCTAGTGCAAAGCTATGAAATGTACTGCTTTTGCCGTTTGAGCGCTGCATCTCCTCCGCCAGGTTTGCCGTGCCTGCATCCAAATGCAATTGGGAGAATTATGATCCGAAGCCTTGGCACGCTGTGATGTTTTCATCCGTTCATCAGTCATTCTCAGATGCGCCGGCTATCAGGCCAATGCCCATCGAGACGGATCCATCGGATCCTACGGATGCACCTCAACAACCTGACACGCAGCAGCCACCTGATCAACCGGACCATCCCATGCCTGATCCAAGACCCAACTCCACCGGACGAGAACATGTCAGATCCTCCTCCGGGTCCTCACACATCAGCCTGATCATCCCATGCCGCCAGCACCACGCAGTGTATCACCGGACAGTCCAGTGGATCCACAACTGCCTCCGCAAGACCCAAATCCTATTCAGCTGATCAGGCTGCCAGAAGGATATGATCGCATCGTCCGGAGGTGACGTAATTGGCATGTTGATGCCGATGGTGTGGACGAATGCTGTACATGCAACCATTCCACATACATCGCCAGTCATTGGGATCTTGTTTGAAGATATCGATTTCAGTCCCCGGTGGGTACTGCTTCATCGTCTTCTGAAACTTCTCTGGACTAGCGGATCTTGGATGACCAATGGTTGAACGTCCTTGTTGAACGGGAGGTCCTGGATTCTCTGCTGGTCATGTTGAACTCCTTGTCAATGGCTTCCATCTCCTTTCTCAAGGCTTGATGGTGACGAAGGAGAACCACTGTGCGGATGTCGTGGACGCGGCCGTAGATTATATCCTGCGGCCTATCAGTCTGGCCTCTCAGTCCTCTGAACTTTGTCGCGTCAATCTCCAAGATGAGTCCATACTAACCCGACACTGGTCTTAGAAAAGGGGTTGCCGCCCAGAGTCCCACCCCCTTTTAGTCAGCCCCAAAAAAGGCAATCAGGCTACTATGAAGGCATTCCCCCCGGGTCCGCTCTTGCATCCTTAGCACCTCCTGGGCAACATCGCCAGCATCACCTGCATCATCCGCATCAGCGCCTGCCAAGGATGCGGATGATGCAAGTGATGCTGGAGATGTTGCCCATGCTGGTGAAGGAACATCTGGAAATGAAGAAAAATGCATGGAAATGAATAACATGAAGTGAAAAAAAGAAAGGGAACAAAACAGACAAACAGGGACGTGAACCGAAGTGAAGCAAAGTGAAGGGAAATGAACATCTTTGAAGAAGGGGGGAAAAATTAGGGGGGGAACTGGGGAGAAGATCGGGGGGGGTCTTGGGGGACGGGACAAAGGCCTCAGGGGGGAAAGAGGGCAAAGGATCTCAACCGGGAAAGGGGGAAAAGATCTTAGCGAGGAAAAGGGAGATGATCTCAGGGGGGGGGAAAAGGCCTTAGGGGGCAAAGGGGGAAAGGATCGAAAAGCGAGAAGATCTCAGCAGGGAAAAGGCCTTAAGATCTCAGGGGGGGAAAGGCCTTAGGGGGGAAAGGGGGTAAAGGATCTCAACAGGGAAAGGGGGGGAAAGATCTTAGGGAGGAAAGGCAGAAGCTCTGGGGGAAAAAGGCCTTAGGGGGGAAAGGGGAGAAATGATCTCAACAGGGAAAGGGGTGGAAAAGATGTTAGGGATGAAAGGGAGAAGACAGGGAAAGGGGGGAAAAGATCTTAGGAAGGAAAAGGGAGAAGCTCTCAGGGGGGGAAAGGCCTTAGGAGGGAAAGGGGGGAAAGGATCTCAACAGGGAAAGGAGGGGAAAGATCTTAGGGAGGAAAGGGGGGGAAAGATCTTAGGGAGGAAAGGGAGAAGATCTGGGGGGAAAAGGCCTTAGGGGGGAAAGGGGGGAAAGGATCTCAAAGGGAAAAGAGGGGAAGGATCTTAGGGAGGAAAAGGGAGAAAGATCTCAGGGAGGGAAAGGTTTTAGGGAGTAAAAGGGTGGAAAGGATCTTAACAGGGAAAGGGTGGGAAAGAGCTTAGGGAGGAAAGGGGGGAAAAGATCTTAGGGAGGAAAGGGAGAAGATCTGGGGGGAAAAGGCCTTAAAGGGAAAGGATCTCAACCGGAAAAGAGGGGAAGGATCTTAGGGAGGAAAGGGAGAAGATCTCACAGGGGGGGGGGAAAGGCCTTAGGAGGGAAAGGGGGGAAAGGATCTCAACAGGGAAAGGTGGCAAAAGATCTTAGGGAGGAAAAGCGAGAAGATCTCAGGGGGGGAAAGGCCTTAGGAGGGAAAGGGGGGAAAGGGGGGAAAGGATCTCAACAAGGCCTTAGGGGGGAAAGGGGAGAAAATATCTCAACAGGGAAAGGGGTGGAAAAGATCTTAGGGAGGAAATGGAGAAGATCTGGGGGAAAAAAGGCCAACAGGGAAAGGGGGGAAAAGATCTTAGGGAGGAAAAGGGAGAAGATCTCAGCGCGGGGGAAAGGCCTTAGGGGGGAAAGGGGGGAAAGGATCTCAACAGGGAAAGGGGGGGAAAGATCTCAGGGAGCAAAGGGAGAAGATCTGGGGAAAAAATGCCTTGGGGAGGAAAGGGGGGAAAAGATCTTTGGGAGGAAACGGGAAATCTTTCTCGGGGGGAAAAGGCCCTAGGGGGCACTGGGGAAAGGATCTCAAACGGGAGGGGGGGGAAAAGATTTTAGGGAGGAGAAGGTTGAAGATCTTGGGGGGAAAAGGCCTTAGGGGGCAAACGGGGGAAAGGATCTTAAGCGGGAAAGGGGGGAAAAGATCTTAGGGAGGAAAAGGGAGATGATCTCAGGGGGGGGGGGGGGGGGAAAGGCCTTAGGGGGGAAAGGGGGAAAGGATCGCAGGGGGGAAAAGGCCTTAAGATCTCAGGGGGGGAAAGGCCTTAGGGGGGAAAGGGGGAAAGGACCTCAACAGAGAAAGGGGGTAAAGGATCTTAGGGAGGAAAAGGGAGAAGATCTGAAAAGGCCTTAGGGGGGAAAGGGGGGGAAAGGATCTCAACAGGGACAGGGAGAAAAGATCCTAGGGAGGAAAAGAAAAACATCTCGGGGGGAAAGGGGGAAAGGATCTCAACTGGGGGAAAAGATCTTGGGGAGGAAAAGGAGATCTCAGGGCGGGAAAGGCCTTAGGGGGGAAAGGGGGGACAGGATCTCAACAGGGAAAGGGGGGAAAACATCTTAGGGAGGAAAAGGGAGAAGTTTTAGGGGGGAAAAGGCCTTAGGGGGGAAGGGAGGGGAAAGGATCTCAACAAGGAAAAGGGGGAAAAGATCTTAGGGAGGAAAAGGCGGAAGATCGCGGGAGGAAAAAGGCCTTAGGGGGGAAAGGGGGGAAAGGATCTCAACAGGGAAAGGTGGCAAAAGATCTTAGGGAGGAAAAGGGAGAAGATCTCAGGGGGGGAAAGGCCTTAGGAGGGAAAGGGGGGCAAGGATCTCAGCAGGGAAAGGGGGGGAAAGATCTTAGGGAGGAAAGGCAGAAGCTCTGGGGAAACAGGCCTTAGGGGGGAAAGGGGAGAAATGATCTCAACAGGGAAAGGGGTGGAAAAGATCTTAGGGATGAAAGGGAGAAGATCTGGGGGAAAAAAGGCCAACAGGGAAAGGGGGGAGGAAAAGGGAGAAGCTCTCGGGGGGGAAAGGCCTTAGGGGGGAAAGGGTGGGAAGGATCTCAACAGGGAAAGGGGGCAAAGGATCTTAGGGAGGAATAGTGAATAGGGAGAAGATCTCAGCGGGGGGAAAGGCCTTACGGGGGAAAGGGGGAAAAGGATCTCAACAGGGAAAGGAGGGGAAAGATCTCAGGGAGGAAAGGGAAAAGATCTCAGGGGGGGAAAAGGCCTTAGGGGAAAGATCTGTGGGAGGAAAAGGGAGAAGAACTCAGGGTGGGAAAAGGCCTTAGGGGGGACAGGGGGGAAAGGATCTCAATAGGGAAAGGTGGGAAAAGATCTTAGGGAGGAAAAGGGAGAAGATCTCAGGGGGGAAAAGGCCTTAGGGGGGAAAGGGGGGAAAGGGTCTCAACAGGGAGAGGGGGGAAAACATCTTAGGGAGGAAAAGGGAAAAAATCTCAGAGGGAGAAAGGGCCTTCGGGGGGAAAGGGGGAATGGATCTCAACAGGGACAGGGAGTGCAAAAATCTTAGAGGGGAAGGGGGGCAAGGGGACAATTCCAAAGGGACGCAAATAGGAAAGCAGGCCTGTAATGTCGGCGGCCTGAGACGGAGGCGTTAAAATATTTCCGTGCTGGATACATCACCGCACCAAAAAAACTCAAATACATACTGGCACCCAAAGGTAATGTTGCAATGAGCTGGAGGGGACACGGGAGTTTCTCAAATGGTGGACCCTCTGTTGGTACTTGGAAAAATGAAAGCCAACGTTTGAACATATGTCACGGACATCATGTAGGTGGGCAGAATTCCAGGTCCACCACTTTGCGGTGGCTCCCCATTGAGATTCAGACCCGTTTGGGTGTGCTTTTTGTTGAGGGTACACCGTCTTGGTGGTGTCAATGGGAAACCCGGGAACCCGGAGCCATTTTGGCGGTCCCCAAAAAGAGACGCGCCCACTTTGAGAACCGCCCCCCCCCTTTCGGCAGGAGTCCCAGTCTTCCGGGTTTCCACGGGCCTCGCAAACGGCTTCAGCTCGGCTCCCCCGCCAACGGGCACAGCTGGCCCAGTCGCCACAGGCCGCAGGAGAAGAAACCCTCCGAGGCGGCCGCAAGCACCTGACAAGCGGAAAGACCACAACAAATATGGGGGAGGCTACTCCCTTCGAATCCTGTTCATGGATTCTTGGGTGGTGGTTTTTTGAGTACAAACACAAAACCGCCAGTACCTGGCAAGCGGGACCAAAAACAATACGGGCGGGGAGATTGCCCAAGTTACCCTGTATCTTGGCCCACATCTGGGGATTCACTTCTGGTGGGTCATTGTTTTGAGGAAACGGGCCTTTTGTTTTCATTTCAAAGGGAAACCAGGAGGAAACCACCCATCTCTTGAGAAGGGGGCCGTATTGTTCATTCGCACCCCCCTTGTGCAGGGTATTGTCTTTTGGGGCTTGAGTCTCGAGTCTGCAACATAGTCTTTGCGTGGTCTTTCAGAGTCCCGGTCTGAAATCGCAGAATTTCTGTGGCATCGTTGTGTCTTGGGGGGTCTTTGGACTACATGGCATATGGAACACCTGTTGGGAGAAGGAGCCCTGAAGAGCGGTCCAGGTAAATGCTTGGTAGACGTAGAGAACTGCCACTGGACCCCATCCATGGATCAACCTTCCGTTGCAAGGCACTGAGACTCGACGGTTACCAGAATGGCTTGCTCCAAAGACCCTCGAACAAGTTGGCGGAAAACCAGAGGAAACCCTTGGAGTTGGTGGTTTCATCAATAGAATGTCTGAAAGACAACCAAAGGACCCTGGGCAACTTTCCACCCGAGAAGGGCTTTGGTTTGTTTTTTGACCGGGAGCAATTCTCGGCAACTTCCAACCAAGCCCAGAACCGAGCGCCTGCAGATGATGCGAAGACACGCTGCGAAGAGACGCAAAGAAGCGCAGGAGTCGGCTGCTAAAAACCGCCGCCTGGGCCATGGTAGCCAGGTGTCAAAATTGGAGGAACCCAAACATGGTTGCCTTCCTTTTGGTTTCCCTTCAACCAAGGTGACAAGGGTACCCTCCACACCCTCAACACAGACACACAGACACAGACACAGACACAGAGACAGAGAGACACAGAGACACAGACACACAGACACACACACACACACACAGACACACAAACACACAGACACACAGACACACAGACACACAGACACA